AAAAACAAGCTCATAGATCTTTATAACAAACTGCATATCTTTATGACATATCTATTTTATATCTACTATAGCTGGCTTTTTTTGTTCAAATAGTCTCTTCAGATCAATGTGAATGAGTTCTTAAAATTAAATCTCAGAATTATTGTTATCATTGTCTAAGCATTCATCATTGAGAATTCAAGAATGGGAATAAAAGCAAATAACAAAGCACAAAATAGTGGTTGGGAGAAAAGAAAATATAATGAAATGCATCAACTTGTCTTTTATTGAAATGATAACAAATGAAATCTTATTGTATGAAAGAATTCTTAAACTACTTTGAAAGAAAACCAAGAATGACAAGCAACTTTCAACTAGCCTTAACATCTTTATGCTCCTATACGATCAAATGAAATATCTTTATTGATATCTAGCCTTCTGATTGGTTGTAACTTTTCAAATCACACTTGTTCTTGATCTCCACCCGAAACATTGACATTATAATTAGGCAATGGATTGCCACTAACATAAGGTATTGTTACCCTTCCTTGATCAATGTTTATCATTCCATCTTGATCGATCATTGTATCTTATGCTTTAGGGTAGTGCAATTCTCTGTGGAATGACCAGCAATTCCATAGTGGTAGTCAAAATAAGCTGTAGGATCATACAACTTGGGCTATAGTGGCTTGAGAGGCTCCAAATGGTTGGGGGCAATCAAGTGGTTGTTGTAGAGTTCTCGGTATAACTCCGTATAAGTCATAGGATTGGGTTAAATATGGAATTTTTCTCAAGTAGTTTGTTGCTTTTACGAACCACCATTGGGCTAACAGGATGAGTCTGGGGTCTTGGGGGAGTTTGAGCATTAAGACTATATGTGGCAACCTGAGGTCTAAAAAGGGATGGATAGGTCAGAGGGTAGGATGGCCTGGGGTTTGACTGGTACTGGTAGGTATAAGCATTATTCATAGTAGGATAATATAGAGAATAACCTTGTGATGAATAGGGTTGATAATCCATGAACTGTCTACCAAAGCTCACAACTTGAGCTTTAGTCTCTTTTTTTTTGGTGCCTTCATGGTTTCCATCCTTTCAACTTACCATTTTTAATGGCATTCTCAGTGATTTCGCCTGAGATTATTATGTCAACAAAATTCTTTGTTGCATTCCTTATCATCTTTTCATAATAGGGAGATTTCAAAGTACTAACAAACAACACTATGGTCTCTTTTTTAGTTAAAGGAGGCTACACTTAAAAAGCTACATCCTTCCACCTCTGGGCCTATTCCTTGAATGATTTAGTCACCTTTTTTTCCATATTCTGCAAAGAAAGGTAATTAGGAGCTAAATCTATTATATACCAGTACTAATTAATGAAGTTATGGGTCATATCACTCTAAGAACGAATGTGAGTTCTATCTAGTTGGACATACACCTAGTAGCAAAGCCAGTGAGGCTATCTTGGAACACATGCATTAATAATTTTTCATTATTAGTATGGGCAACCATCTTCTTACAATACATGGTAATGTGGGTCTTTGGGCACTTTATACCATCATATTTTTAAAACTCTAAAACCTTGAACTTCAAATGAATAACCACATATGGGACTAAACAGAGCCCATTAGCATCTATAGAACCATAAAAACCTACTTCTTCCATTATTCACAACATCTCTTCTAGCATACTAATCTTCTAGTCAACTATTGAGTCCCTCATAACTCGTCCCTTTTTAGTTTTAATTTTTCATTCTCCTTTAGATCATCCAAATTAAGGACCTAAATTAGTTCTATTGCTTTTTCAGTAAAGATAGGTTTACATAATTTTAGTATTGTCTTAGATTTGAAGTTGATAGCATTCCATGATATGTATACCCTATCGGATATGTGAACTGCTATGATGGTGGGTCTTGTGTGGACTGGGCTCGTGATGGCCTAAAACCAAGAGGGTACAAAAGGTTATCCACCTCTTGTGATGGATAGTTCTATTAGCTAGTACTTTCTTCTATACCTTTTCCCTTGTTTAACTTGTTCAAAGCTTTCAAAATCTTATTCAACTCTCCTTCTAGCTTCTCTTGAGCTTTTTTTATCCTCTTGAGATAATTTAAATTTTCTTGTTCCATTTGTCCAGCTTGAGCTTTTGTATTATATTGGTGAGTTGGGTTCTGTGGAGCTATCTTTAAACCTTGAATACCATAATTATGATAATAAATGCTATGTTATGCTTTATGTTTGGTATGTTGATGCATAAATGAAAGGTACATTTTCATGGATGAAATGAAAATGATGTAGATTCACAATGTTAAATATGACAATGAAAATGATGCATGGTATGAATACACAAAGTCAAACAAACAAAATGGTTAGATCACAAATCATTCCTTCTTATGTCCTAACTTTGGATTACATCAATAGGTAAAAAGGGCTCTATCTTAAGGCTGGCCTCTTAAATGTACACTATATGTAGGGTTAGATGATTTTGACCACTAATGGTTCCAAATTGTTCCTTACATCATCGTCCATCATAGACAAGTAAGGCTATCCAATCCTCACCCATCATAGGTTACCAACAAAAAATATTCAATTTGAGTGGAAGTATTTTGCCAGCCATTACAGAGATTATCATCTTACAAGAACGTAGGTACTTTACTCATTCTTAAGAGGAATAGACCTCGGTATAGAGCTTATATAATGCAAATGCATGTGATAGTGTGTGTGAACATATACGTTTCATGCCCCAAAAATAAAAGACAAAAAAGACAATAATGTTAGTAAACAGATAACACAAATTATTACAATTTAAAACCATCAGACCAAAGAATAAGATAAATTTAAAAGTTTATGGCTTGACTCTCTATGGCTATCCCCAGAAGTCGCCAAACTATCATAACATATAGATCCGTAAATCTATAACTAGACTTAACAAAAGAAGTCACCACCAATCTTTTTTAACTAGGTGTGATTGGCCACCTAGAGAATCTATCCTCTTATGGAGCTCTTAAGCTTGACTAAGGGTCCTTAAAAAAATAGGTTTGGGTCTACAAACCAAAAAAGTTCGAGAGTTCGGTTACATGTGGAGAAGGTTATAGCACCCCCACATGCCCATACGAAGGATCATACCATATTATTTTAAATTTATCCTAAGGTCTTGATTCTAATGGTTTTAAATTTTTATGTTGAATATTGAAAATAATATTTAAGATTCTCCATCAATCTGGTAGAACTCTTAAAAATATTTTCTCACCTCAAGAGAATTCAAAAATCCATTTATTTTCTTAAAGAGGCTCCATCATTGAAAAAAAGATTTAATTATTTTTATTCTGATTTTTTATTTGTCAAAAATATATCTAATTATTCCACCATTTAGGCCAAATTAAAAATATTTTCTCTTTTTTAAATTTATAAATTTTTCACCATTTGGGCCTATTTAGAAATTATCTTTATTTATTTATTTTTATTGGATTTCTAAATTTTTCACCATTTGGGTCAATTTAGAAATATTTTCTTTTTTTGAAATTTCTAAATTTTTCATCATTTGGGCCTATTTAGAAATCCTTTTTCTTTTTTTTTTGTTTTCGAAAAGAAAATAATATGACAATTATTTTTTATTGAAATTTCATTTAAATTTTTTCATCATTTGAGACAAATTTAAAGAAATTTCTCACCTAGAGATTTTTTAGGAATTTACCATTTAAAATTTCTAAGAATCTCATCATTGGGTAATTTGTCACATATTTTCAACCAAAATTTTATTAGGAAAAGAATACGATTACTTTTATTGAAATTGCATCTAAATTATTCCACTATTTGGGACAAATTTGGAGAAAATTTCTCACCTAGAGATTTCTTAGAAATTTACCATTTGAAATTTCTAAGAATCTCATCCTTGGGTAATTTTTATTTAATTCCAAAATTTTTATATTTTAGTTTTTTAAAATAAATATTAATTATTGTTATTGAAATTTTATCCAGATCATTCCACCATTTGGGACAAATTTAGACAAAATTTCTCACCTAAAAATTTTATAAAAATTTACCATTTGAAATTTCTATAAATTCCATCATTGGATAATTAATATTTATTCCAAAATTTATTTTATTTATTTACCTTTTTTATTTTTATTTTTTAAAAAATTTAATCATGCAAAAATATTTTAAAAAATAAATAGAAAAAATAGAAGAAAACCCAAAACAGAAGGCGGTTCAGCTCCAATGGCTACGACGCGGCTTGGCTTTAGAGAGGAATAGCGGCTTAAGTGACTTGCGAAGTGGCTCGGCTTGGTTGAAACTCAGAACTAGGACATGGGTCAAAAAATGAGTAGTGCTTGGGTCAGATCACCCATTTGCAAAACGCGTGAATCCTAGGGGTCTATTAAGCTCCAAAGCAATGTCATTTTTGGGTCAATATAAAAGGTAGCACCCAGCTTTTTTCCTTATATTTCATTTTCCCTCTCTCTCTCTTCCCTTTTCTTTTTTCTCCCTCTCTTTCTAACCCAGATGAACTCTGGTTGAATCTTCACTAGATTCTAGAAATCTTATTGGAATCTAGGTTGGTTCACTGGAAGTTCATGGAAAAATTCAACCAGTGCTGGAATCTTCAATTGGATTCTAGGAAACCTATAGGAAAATTCAATTGGTTCTGACAAACTCGTCAAAAAATTTAATTGATGTCGAAAAATTCATCAAAAACTAGAAATTTTCCATAAAATTTCTAGAAAATCTTCTTTTTTAAACCCAAAAATTTTCAAAGTCTTCTATCTCACTATTGCTCTGTCACTAATTGTGTTACTACCTTTTCTTTGTTTTTGTTTTTGTGTTCTTTTTCTTGTGATTTGGGTTTGTATTTATAGGATTAAAACCACAGAACCCAATCCAAATAGAAATTTAATTCCTTCTAAATTTCAACTTCAACTTCCAAATTCAATTTAAGTTCAAACACCTAATTTTAATCAAACTCAACCACCTTTTTTTATTTTTTATTAATAGAACTAATCCTAATAGACCCCAAACAGATTGAAATGTTTACAAAACTGGTTTTATGTTTGGATTAATGTGTAACCTATGGACCACTACCATGAGATCAATCCCAAGCATATCTAAAAGGTCCATGCAAACAGTCAGCATTATCTCTTAACAACTGCACCGATTTTTTTTTAATCGAGCTTGGCTCCTATTTACATATATTTATCCTTATTACTTTCAAAAAATGACATAAGCATGAGGCCTTCTACTATTTCTAGTTTGCTAATATCCATTTTTGGCCCTTGTTCAATGACTATTTCCTACAAGAATTATAAATCCTAACATAAGTGTTGACATGTTAAACTCATTAGTTTAGATACAAAAGTATGATTTGAATAGTTAGGTAAATGCAATCATTTGCATATTCATAGAACAGACTTAAAAGCTAAGTGAAAAATTAACTTTGTATGATTTTAATGCTAGTTTAAGAGTTTGGCATAAAAAATCTTCGAAAAGTATTTACAGATTGTAAGCTTAATAGCTCAATGTTGGCTCTTAAGAGAGCATTTTTAATTTTTCTTCAATTTGGTTGGTCTCATGCTTCTTACCTTAATTGTCTTCCTTTGCATCTCCAATAGTCATGACCTTGACCTCCGTCTCTCTTTTGGCTTAGGTTTCCTTGACTTTGGATGAGCTGTCAGTCTGCTTTTCAGTTATACCCCTCATGGTTGTAACATGGCATTATCTTGTTGTGGATTGGTCTCCTTGGACCTTTTTAACCCCATTTGCGGTAGGAAAATTGATTTTAAGATGAATAGTTAAGCTAATAATTCTCATAATAGATTGACTCAGCTAACCTAAAATCATGTTATAATTCATGGTGGTAGACTCCTATTAATAATACACTACATGCCAATCATGCATGTCTAACTAATTCTTCAATTCATAAAGAAAGGAAGATTTATAATTGAACTCATTAGTTGCATAATAAAAAATTTGAAGTATGAGGATGTAGAATAAAATATATTTATTTATATTGTCTTACAATTAAGATAAAAAATTAACTCAATGATAAAATTAAATTATATATATACAAAAAAAAGGATAAATGAATCAATTAATATTTCATATAGATCCTAAGATTACTAAATTAGTCTTTTTATTACTCAATGGGTCAATGTATCATAATATATATGAAAATGATTAAAAAAAAGTATTAGATTATGGATGATAATGTGAGCTCTGATATTTTTTTCAATTAATGTGCAAAAAGTGCTTCATTTGGAATTTAGCCAAATTTACTATAAATAGTTATTTAAATTTTAATTAAAAATTTAGAATACTGACAAACATTTGCATATTTTAGATTTTATAACCTACTTTAAATAGAAGATTTTATAATTAAAAAGATGTTTAATATATATCTATATTATATATAAAATGTGATAATTTATTAAATTACCTCTACTTAATTTTATTTAATATTTTTTAGCAAATTAAAATATTGTCTACTTTTTAATTTTTTTATTAAAATAGATTTTTTTAGTTAAGTCATTCATGTCTCACTTAACGTAAGCAATACGACTGAAAGATTTAAAATAGTTTTTCTACATATGAATATTTTAGTGTTTGTAACACATTTCAACTATTAATATGTTTTACACAATTAAATTAATTATAGAGGATTTAGTGGTAAATAAAATATAACATAATAGTAAATGTATAATATTCCCTTTGTCCTTTTTTTTGTCCATCTTTTTTTTTTACATCCCAATATTATGTCTTATTTTTTGTTTTAAACATCTAAAACTCTTACTTTTTTATATTTTAAATTATTTTATATGATTTTTTTTAATTTTTAACATTAAAAATCATAAAACTTTAATTTTATAAAAAAATAATTTAATATTAACTACATTAAAGTCAAACTTTTTTCTTAAATTCCGAGAAAGTCAATATAAGACAAACAAATAAAGATGGAGAGAGTAATATGGTAGCAAATTATTGATAATGTTATTGTAAATTAGTGATAATTTAGACAATATTAGTAATAACTTTATATTAAATCGTTGATAATTGTATATTAAATTATGGATAACTTATTAGTAAATAAATAATAATTTAGTAGTAAATAATTGATAAGATAGTTATATACCAGTGATAACATAATAATAAATACATAATAATATAGTAATAAATAACAAATAATTTAATAGTAAATTATTTATACATAATTGTAAACACATAACAATATAACAGTAAATTAAGGATAATTTAATAAAAAACTAATAACTTAATAGTAAATCATTGACAAATTAGTAGTAAATTAATAATAATTTAATAGTAGATAAGATTCAGTTTAATACTTCCTCTATCCTAGTAAAATTATCACATTTTTTTTTGTTGGTCAATTTTTTTAACTTTAATCACTTATTATTTTATATTTATTATTGATAAAATATGAAAAACTATATTTTAGAAACTTTAAATGAAATGGTTTCTAAATATTTGTTTTATAAAATTTGATTTATTAAAATATTTAAAATAATAGATGTCAAAATTAAAAAATTTTAACAAAAAAAAGTCAACTATAACAATTTAATTGGGATAGATAGAGGAAGTAATAATTAATTGATAAATTTAGCAGTAAATCATAAATAATTTAATAATAAATTAATGATAATTTAGTAGTAAATAATTTAGAACATAGTAGTAATTAATAATTGAAAATTAAAAGTAAATCAATATAATTTAATAGTAATCATTGATAAATTAATAGTTAATTAGTGATAATTTGGTATAGTAAATTAGTGATAACTTAATAGTATAATAATAATAATTTAATAGTAAATAATTGATAACTTAATTGTAAATCAATAATAATATAATAGTAAATGCATAATAACTTAACAGTAAATCAATTATAACATAATTGTAAATGCAAAATAGCATAGTAGTAAATTAATGATAATTTAATAAAAAAATAAATGATAACTTAATAGTTAATAATTGATAATTTAATAGTAAATCAATGAAAATTTAGTAATAAATTACAGATAACTTAATAGTAAATCTATTTTAGTTTAATAGTAAGTAAATTATAAACTTAGTAGTAAATCATAAATAATTTAGCAATAAAACAATGATAATTTAGTAGTTAATCACTAAAACTCAATGATAAATCAATGATAACATAGTAGCAAATGCATAACAGTATATAGTAAATCATTGATAATTAATAGTCAATTATTAATAATTTAGTAGTAAATCACTAATAATGTAATGGTAAATCATTGACAACTTAGCTGTAAATCAGTGATAATATAGCTATAAATTAATGATAATTTAATCATAAATTAGTTAATTATTAACAACTTCATAGTAAATTATCAACAACTTTATAATAAATTATCTATAATTTAATAGTAAATTATTAATAATTTAGTAGTAAATCATTTATAACTTAGTAGTAAATCATCTATAACTTAGTGATAAATTAATGATAATTTAGTAGAAAATTAGTGATAAGATAGTAATAAGTAATTGATAATTTATTTGTTAATTAGTGATAATATTTTTTTATACTTAAAGTTACTAGTGATTAAACCTTGGTTACTAGAAAGAGCAAAGCTAGAACTTTTATCATTAAGAATTAGAATAAACTTACCATGAACCTATTTATTAAAAAAATTTGGTAAAAAAATTCTAAATTTGAATGAAACAATGATGTTATTATATAAAAAGAAAATTATCACATATATTGTAATTTATTGATAAATTAATAGTAAATCATAAATAACTTAACAGTAATTGAATGGATAATTTAGTAGTAAATAATTGATAACTTAATAGCTAATTATTAAAAAGTTAATAACAAATCAATGGTAATTAGTAAATGCATAATACTATAGTAGTAAATCATTGAATTTAGTAGTAAATCGCTAATAACATACTAATAAATCACTTATAATTTGTTGTATATCAATGATAATTTAATAGTAAATCATTGATAACTTCATAGAAAATTAATTATAACTTTATAATAAATTATCAATAACGTAGTAGTAAATCATTCATAGCTTAATAGTAAATCATTAATAATTTACTAATAAATCACTGATAATATAGCAATAAATTAGTGATAACTTAGTTGTCAATCGATGATAAATTTTCTTATAGTTGAAGTTTTTTATGGTTAAACTCTGGCTACTAATAAGAGAGAAGTCAAAACTTAGTAATAAATTAGTTATAATAATAAATCTATGTTAACTTGCTCATAATTTATTGATAACTTAATGATAAATCAGTTATAATTTAATTGTAAATCAGTGATAATAATAAATTAATGATAACTTATAATAAATTAATTTTAGCTTAGTAGTAAAGTATGGATAACTTAATAATAAATTATTCAAATTTTAATAGTAAATTAGTAATATAACTTAATACTAAATCATTGATAACATATAGTAGTAAATCATTGCTAACTTAGTAATTTTTTTTGTTTTGGTTGAATATTCATATAGATCTATATTTTTTTAATATGTGTAACGTATTTGATTCATTTAAAAAATTATATTTATTGCCATTTAATACTAAGTATTGAATTACAAATATTTGTGGATATTGCACACATATATAAATGATTAAAGCAATATTCATGTACCAATTACTATAACATAATTGTATTGAAAAAAATCAATTTTTTAAGTGCATTTAATACTAAGGTATTGAATTACAAATATTTGTGGATATTGCACACATATATAAATGATTAAAGCAATATTCATGTACCAATTACTATAACAACATAATTTTATTGAAAAAAATCAATTTTTTAAGTGAAAATTTGGAATGATTTTATCTAAATTCGTATGTCATTGATTGTCTATACTGTTAGCAACTATAAAAAAATTTATTGTCTTTAAAAATATTGTTAAAATGAAAGAAAGAAATAATGAATCTAAACATATTAAAAAATACCATAGAAAAATTACCTATAAGTTATTTTCTCAAGTACATAATATTTTAAATTAAAACATATGATTTAATAATAATAATAATAATAATAATAATAATAATAATAACATGAATTCTATAAATTATAATTTTATAACAATATTAGTTAAATGATGAATTTTTTGTATGACTTATACTAGATATAAAATTAAGTTTTTGTCAAATAAAGCAATTACTTCATTTTAATTAAAAAAGAGTTCAAATATTAAAAATATATTCATTATCAATTTTAAAGTCTAAGATTTAAAACATTGTTTACCTTCAAAATATAATAATATCTTTTGATATTTATCTAAAATAGGCCATATCTTATTAATTTTAGAATTCTTATATTTCATTATTTAACAAACAATACTAATATTGAACCAAAGTTAATTGAGAAAAGTATTTCAACATTTAAAGAACAACATAAAAATACTATTTGATTATGATAAGATATATTTTTAAGTAACGTGTGTTATTTAAACTCTTATTATAAAATATGTTAGTAAGTTATGCATATTTAGTGGCTTTTAAAGAAATCAATATTCGATATTAAAAATAGTTTTAGTTAATATCCTTTGTAAATAGATAAAAAAAACATCATTGATTATTGCATCGAGATATTAATAGTTTTTGATTGCTTCAAATCTTTTTTTTTAGAACATGTTTATAAATTAATATTTTTAATTAGTAAAATTCATGTAAGTATGCCTTTTTTTTTTACTTTAAAATTAAACTGCAAAATGATTTATATGACATAAATAAGTACATATAAAAAATAGAAGTAAGTGGTCATGAAAAAGAAAACATTATATATTTACTTTACTTCAAGCAACAAAAACTTTATAACAATATGGTTTCAAATCAAAATAAAGAATTTAAATTTTCAATAACAAAAAAAATGAAAAACAAGAGTTTAAATGAGTTTAACGATGATTGATTGCTTTAAAAATTTATAAAATTGAAAATAAAAATCTATTATCAAAAACTTAAAAGAAAAAGCTTGAGAAAAAGTATAAAACAGAGAAGAGGGGAAAGTACAAAATCAGATTTGATTGTGATAGAAGACAATCCTCTAAACAAATTTAAAAAGAAAGAAAAAATATATGAAAAATGAATGAAGATGATGACCTAAAACCAAAAAACATTAAAGAAAACTTCTAGAAACAGTCAAAATAAAGAAAGATTAAATATTTATTCTTTATTGGAATTTTAATTTAAAATTTTTGTTATATTTATTTTTTTCAAACTTAAATTTATATTTTTAATTTAATCTAGTATGATGATAGTTATTGCAATTTTATTACGATAAAAATATTAAAATTATTTTATTATATTAGAATTATAATTTGGTTAACAATTACATTTATAGCACGTGAAAAAAAAACTAGTATATATATATATACACTTTTGGGAAGATGATTGGGGCAAAAATCAAGTAAAAATAAAAGAAAAGAAAATTTAGTATTTAATTCAGAATTTAATTGGTTTATAAAGAATGACATTTAATAGATATGAATTCAAATTTTAGCTTTCTAACTCTTTCTCTTCTATGCAACATTATTATAAATAAAATATAAAAGTATATTAAAAGTAAATTGCCACTAACATGATCAAAGTACTTTTGATAAAGAATTAATTGAATTTTTAGATCACATATGAAATTAATAAAATATTACAAAAAGGTTAAGAACGACTGAAGCAATTTACTCTATTCTTTATCTAAGCTTTGAATCCTATGTAAGATCCTTTGGGATTGGAATGAATGATATACAAAAGTTTCAAAAAAAAGAGTGGACCATCTCATCGAACCATGCGAGTACCGGTCACTGGAGTTGCATATAGACAGGTCAAGATGGTCATCTGATTCATATATGAAGTCAATAAAACATCCTTTCACACGTAAATCAGAAAGCACTGTAAAACTAACATGATCCCCGCTTTGTAATTCACCCTTAAATTTCCAAGAGCTTATCCACGTGACCAAGTTCCTGGCTTCAGGAATTCCAACGAAATGTTTGCAATAGGTCCACTTGGTGTCTTTGGTCTCATTAACAATTTCAACACGAGGTAAGAAATCAAATGTTTTGTCAGTGTCAGCAAAAAGAAGGATGATCGATTTTAGCCAACTAATCTTTTTGCCAAAGGGCACTGTAAATGAAATCTTAGACCCCCTGCTCACAACATGAAGACCATACCAACACAATCGATCATATTTGCTAATTATCCCACAATCATATAAGACCTGTTGCATTGAGTAACAAGTAAATTTCATCACTTGTTCTAAATTCGTCAACATATGGTTAAAATTTGAATAGAATATGTTTACCAAGTGTCATGTAGTGAATTCTATTCATATTTCATCCAAATTCAAAGGAACATCGACAGACGAATGTATTTTGAATAAATTCAAAGAAGCTTTAGAAAGAAAAATAACAAACCTGTGGGGATGCAACCATATTTGATTCCTTTAAGAGATTGTAAATTTGTACTTTGGCATTTCCATTAGAGTTCAAACTAAGTAAGTCTTCTTCACTTAGGTCCAACTCGATGTTTAACTCATTGTCTTCATCAATTCCTAAAAATTTTGATAAATAAATATGTCAGTATTATTCATAAAAAGAAGTATCATTATTATTATTATAATTATTTATTGAGTTACAAATGCAATAAAAAAGAGTCTTTATAAAATTAAGTTCGATTTTTGACACTTATAATTTTAATTATCCAAAAATACGTTTTGTTCATTTCCTAAGTCTGGTCATTCTCGTTTCAACATTTGAATTTGAATTAAATGTTGAAAAATTACCTTGATGATCTTGTTGAAGTAGTTCACATGCAGATATAACGTTGTTTCCCGATTTACATCTACCTGCAACTCCAAATTCTTTAATGTTCAAAATAGAAAACAGCATGCAACTCACATTATCACCAGCTTCGAAGTGGAAACGCTTTACTGGCCAATGGATTAACCACAACATTGTGTCATTATTGGATTCTGGAATTCCCACGAAACTCGAGTAATAAGCAAAATCGATCTGCTTGGTTTCGTTAGTAATTGCCACACATGGAGTACTGTCAAGTATAACTTTATCATCAACAACAGAAAACACGATGCATAGGCTCAAACAACTGATCTTTTCATCGGGAAAATCATATGATGGGAAAGAAAAAGAAATCTTTGACCCTTTACTACGATGCTCGAATGAGATTGGGACCTCACTTCCTGAAACAAAACAACTAGTGATGCCACATTCATGGATTACCTGTGTCATTGAAATGGTTAGTATTTGTGAAAAATCAGATAGGGACAAACAATACAGAAAAAAATGGTTCAAAAGCCGTGTGTCCTATTAGTAGTGTGACATGTTGGTAGATTGTTAAATTTTTAGCTTCAGTGACATAGTTCAAATCTTGGTAGCCTCGTATAAACAAAAAATATAATAATTTAATAGATCAAGAAAATTAAGACCTGTGGGGTTGTAACAACTTTTGTGTCTAGAAGATAGTTATAAATTTCTACTTTGTTACTTCCAATAGAGCCCACATTGAATAAGCATTCGATCTGTTCCGCTTCAAAGTTTTCAGTTGGTTCCAACATGAACACTCCTTCAACCTTAGTTAGCTTTTCACAACCAAAAATAATGCACCTTTTGAAAGACAAAAGGTAAGCTACACTTGACATTCTATTTACTGATTGACAAATTTTTATGTGCCGGCCACTCGAAGTTATTGGAAGCTTTGGAAGTGATTGGAGTTGTTTGCAAGAAGATAGAAGAAGTTCCTTCAGCTTTGTAAGGTTGATAATGCTCTCAGGCAAGCTATGAATTGGGTTTCTGCTTAAATTTAAAGATTGCAAGTAGGGTACACTGCTAAGATCACTGGGCATAACATCATCCGATAGTCTACAATTCTCCAGACTCAACTTGACCAAAGAACATGGTAAAAACTCCCAAAACAAACTCATTTCTTTTCTTCTTTTCAATGATAACCAAGACAACCATGAATTCGAGTCAAATATAGCAGTTTCATCCAAACCAAGCACCTTCAATGATTTCATACACTGCAACTCTTTCGGCACATGATCAAGTCTTAAGCAACCTGATAAAATCAGCTTTTCAAGAGATACCAACATACCAATGGTTCTTGGAAGTTTCCTTAGATTTTTGCAGTCTTCAAGGTTTAAAAAACTAAGCGTCTTTAGCTGACCAATGGATTGATCAACCTCAATAAGATTTATGCAATCTTTGAGCATCAATTTCTCAAGTCTACGGAGTCCTGAAAAGTTTGGGGTTTTGACAAGACCATGTGAATGATTGAGATTAAGAATCTTCAAATTTGGAAGACACTGTAAATTAAGAAGAAATAGACAAAAAGCATTTAGCTCAGATACGTGTTGTTGCTTCACCAAAAAAGAAAAAAAAAAGTTACAGTCACACACCTTTGAATCCTTCCAAACATGTTTTAGGCTGCTTCTGCGCATGTCAAGAACAACTAACCTGGAAATTTCTAAGTCTGTTGGAATATATTGTAGAGGAAATCCATGCCAACGCAACCATGTTAAGCCTTTTGGGAAGTCTCTATAGTCTCCTGTAAGTTTTCCATAATCCAGCTGAAGCAGTTTAAGTCTCCGCATCTTTGTAAATGCTTCAGTTTCCATATCTACCTCATTTGACATGAGAAATTGATTTTTTGATTGATTTACAAGATGTAGCAATCCTTGTAGGTCAATGGTCAAGCATTTAACAGTTTTTGTAGCCTGTTGGAGAAAGAATTTCCCTTGAAAAAATAAAATTAAAAAATTGCAAAAAAGAAACAAGTAGATGAAAATGAAATCTCTTACAAGTTTTTCTCGTATTACATCAAACGCATCCTTATGCCACAACCTGCTTCGCTTCCCAAGGTCAAGAGATTCTTGTCGAACAATTTCCTTTCCCATATCTCTAATCATTTGATGCATCTTTAGCTTATTTTTTTCATTAACAACTAGGAGAGACCTGCAAATAAGATTTTCAATACCAACTGTTGTATGGAAATCACAACCATCTAGAATTGTAGTTGTGTAATCTTTATCCTTCCCGATAAAGAAACAAGCTATGTCGAGGAATAAATTTTTATCATGATCATCTTCCATGGAATCATAGCTTATTCTTAGAATCTTTTGAATTTTGCTATCAGGGATTGCTTTCAATTTCTCCACTGCACTTTTCCAGACATTCATACTTTTTCCGGATAATGAAGAAGCCAAAACTTTAAGAGCTAATGGAAGCCCACCACAATGTTTCACTACTCTCCTTGCGTACTCCATAGACTTGATCTCAATCGGAGAACTCTTTCCGAAGGCATATAAGTTAAAAAGCTGAAGTGATTCGTTAAAAGTTAATTCCTTCACTTCAAATTCCATGCAGATGTCTCTATAATTGGATGATGATGATTCCAAATTTAGCAGCTGGGTAGTGAAAGGAGCATTCAGCATGGATCGATGTCTGCTAGTTATGATGATCTTACTTCCTGGATGAAAAGCTACTTGGGTTCCCATTATTTTAGTTATTTTTTCTGCATCATCCACATCATCGAGCACAAGAAGAACTCTTCTACAGCATAACGCTTCTTTGATCTTAATAATTCCATCATCTGCTTTTTGTATTTTGTTTACTTTTCCCTTAAGGATATCTGAAATAAGCTGTCTTTGCAAACGAACCAAGCCATTGCTTTCTTGGCTTACTTCTCTAACATCAGCAAGGAAACTGTAGCCTTCAAAAATTTCGATGTTTTGATTGTAAGCAACTTTGGCAATGGTTGTCTTCCCATTCCCTCCAATTCCGCAAATTGTTGCAATCCCAACTTTATTTGATCCATCTCCTTTTAACCACCAGTTAATGCATGTCACAAGAAAATCTATTCCAATTAAATAAGGAGGGACATGTAAAACAGTGCGATGGAGTTTATTTTGAACATGCTTTATAATATCTTGAATGAACTGTGATTCATGCCTACAAATTTTAAAAGATAGATATTAAGATAGATATTTGAAATATAACTAGTAGGTAAGACCTTAAAATTTCAATAAAAATCATTAACATGTTTGTTTCTTTCCTACCTAATTTAGTTTTTGTAAAAGTAAAAATTACAATCAATAAAAATTATCTATTTTGATCCGAAAATTCATGATTTTGTCTCATATAGAAAACCTTACAAGTGTTTATTTATATATTTATGTATTTATGTATATATCATAATAGATCCTTAAAGTATCCATGTGAGATTGAGGTGTTACACAAGAAGAATTCAACACACATTTTTAAATAGTAGGCAAATAGTATGGAACTTGCTTAAATGTACCTATCTTGTAGAACCATGCCTCCCAAATCTACAACTTCTTTTAAAGCAGCCCTCCATTTTTGCACCATATCCATTTCAAACTTGAAGGTCTTTTCATGTCTAGCAAAGGCTTCCGCATAACTCCCTGTTTGCTTTTTGACTTGGGATGGATCAACATCATAAAAAACTGGCAAAACATTATGTTGGGAGGATTTCCTATGTTCCATTATCTTCACAAGTTCATTAAGACACCATTTGGATGAAGCATAATCTTTTGAGAAAACAATGATAGATATTTTTGATTGATGGAATATGACTTTTTCAATTTCATCCCATATATTCTTTCCTCTCTCAATTTCATCGTCATCTCTAAAGGTGCGAATCCCTGCTTGCACTAAGGCCATATAAAGGTGATCTGTAAAGTTTTTACGCGTATCTGTACCTCTAAAGCTTAAGAATACATGATAAGAATGTTGAGGAATTGACAAGGAAGATTCGTGATCCATTGGAACAACCACTAAATAAGAGCTCTCCAAGAAAAATCTAGATTGACCGACGAGACACCTAAAATAATGTAGAACAATTTAATAATATCATTAAATGAAAAAAAATTAATAACAAAACATCAAGGCATATTATATAGAAACCAAGATCAAAGAATTCTGCTAACGGCTAGTTGTACGTTTGTATTTATACTCTTTACGAAGAGAAAGTGGAACACACTTTTTCTTTAATAAGAAAAAACTACTACATTAAGCCATTAACAACACTTTCCACATATGTTAATCATATATAATGAAATTTTCATTTTTAAATAAAACTAGAATAGTTAAACTGTTTTGTTATTTGAAAATATTAAGAATTGAATCATAATCACTTGAATTAAAATTTTAGCACTTAAAAGTTAGACATATAATTGTTAATTTCTCCCACTATTCTGTCACAATTAAAAAGATATATAATTAATTATATATATAGGAGGGATCGACTTATTCAGTGTAAAATTTTTTTTAGTTTTATACAATTTTCTTACTATTAATTTTAATAGATCCAAAAGATGAGATTAATCTATTTTTTTTATTTTTAGTTGTCTCTTTTATCTTTTAGATCCATTAAATTCAAAAGTTAAAAAAAATATAAAACTAAAATGTTTTCCAGTGTCTAGCAAAAATATTTACTCTGTGAAAATATAAAAAATTAAAAAAAAATTAATAACCGAAATTTATGAACAAAAATTAAGATTTTTTTTTTTGGAGCAAGATAGAGAATATATATACATACCCCGACTAAAGCTAGGCTTTTAAACGGAGCTTATCCGATTTTGCCGCTTAAAATAACAATTAAAACTTTGTTTGATTGTCATTATTATTTTTTTTTTGTAAAAGTAAAAAATAAAAATTACATTTTCTACAAAATAATTTTTTTAAGAATTAAAATGTTGAAAACTTGACTTTATAATTAATAAATCAATAATAAATCAAGCATTATAGACAATTACATTTGTATTTTTTTAATCTTTTTTAACTTTTAAACATATATTATAAGTCTTATATTATTGTACAAGGGTTCCTTGATTAGGTGGAAGAAACATTGCAATCCAATAATATAAAACGAACTGTTATCGTAAAATTAGAGCAATCCTTAATGAACAAGTGCAGTGGTAGGTGGTAGTAATTTAGCTGTAGAAGCTTAAAATAAAATGTTGGCTAAAACTAATTAATTTTGGTGTTAACAATGCAAAGTATATAAATGTAGCAAAATGTTAATTAGGGTGACATTTAAGGAAAGAGAACATTATTTTTCTTTTTGAATTTAGTAAAAGTAATTCATTAAACGTAAAAACTTTCCTAAAATAATAATTGAATAATTTTTAATCTATTCTTACTAGCATTCATTAATGGGACTCGTAACTATAAAATAGACACGCCTATTGTTGGAGCCTAGGTATGATATTAACAGTTCAAATGCTTGCCTAGACTCAACCTGATACAATCATTTGAATTTTGAATTTTGCCCAAATTCAACCCTAATTTTTTTAAAAAAAGAGCCAAGGCCCAATCAAACCCGTCAAATTAAAATTTTTTTTTCAAGCCAAAATTGAAATGATAATAATTTCAAATAATGAGCAAATCACACTAAAATCTAACACAGCATCCTTAAATTCAATCTAAAATTCTAGCAAAATACCAACACTTTGCACACTTTAACTTACGGCATCCTTCGGTTTTAAGTTTAAACTTTAATCTAAATTCTAACTACACAAGATTACAAACCAACTCCTGAAACAAACCTTTGTAAACTAAGAAAAAATACAGTAAAGAAATCAACTCCTGCAAGCTAATGAAAATTTGTGATAGGAAATTAAATAAAAATTTTAAATTGATAACTAAAAACACGATAAAATTAAGCAAGAAAATAAATAGAAAATAACAAAGACAAGAATAATTTTACCTTAGAGACCAAATGTGCAATTGAGAAAGGTGGGAGACAAATGAGAGAGATGAGAGTGTGAGTGATAATGGTTTTGGAGTGAATGATGCTATATATGAGGAGAGGAGATGCCTACGGTGAACCTAATCCCAACATTTCAATGATTAAGAACGACCACTATCAATGACTTGTAATTTCGAATTTGTTGAATAGCAATAGTGGATTTTAGCATTTGATTTTGAGGGAGCTAATTAGTGTTATATTTTAATTTTTTTATTTTATTACACTTATTAATATAAAAATATATAAATGTACAAAAAATATAATAATAAAAAATAACAAGTTTGTAAAATTATAAAAGAAAAATATTATAATGATAATATTAAATGTTAAAGAATAATATAACTTTTTGACTTAAAAAAAAGAATAATATAACTTTTAAATTAATGATAATATTATTAATTGCACAATCCTTCTATAAAGTATTTGATATTTCTTGATTCTTTTGACAGTTTAAAATTGAAATAAAAGTAAAAAATCTATATTTTTACAAGCATGATAGTTAAAAAATATTTTTTATCCAGACAAGAAAAATATATATACTTTTAAAAAATGAAGTTAAAAATTTTGAGATAAAATCCACGGTATTTTTGAACTTTTAAAAATGATTCTAATATAATTTTTTATTGAAAAAATACTATAAGAGTAATTAAAAGTGAACTATGATAGTCAAGAAAATTTTGTAATTAGCAAAAAAGAAAATGAAAAATTTTAACATCGTGTTGCCTATTAATTGAGTATTGGGATTTTAGTTTCACTGAACAAGATTCAATTTTTGACAAAAAAAAAAAAAACACATTAAGTACTTGGTTAAGATTTAGTATAGTTGATAAAGTTAAAAAGTTAATTTGATTTTGCTGGATTTACTTTATTGTGCAAACTAAATCTCAATTTTGCATAGTTTTAATGTTCAAAACCTTATAACAAGATGATTTTCATAATTACTTAATTAATAAGAAATCATATCTTGATCTATAATTCTGTTTTTTTTAAAGAGTTATAATTTTATTTTTTTCTTTTTCTTTACCGTTTGACTTAACACACATTCTTGATAAATAGAATAAATTAATTTATAAGCAAAAAGAGAAGCAATTTTGTTTCATTCGTTCTTGGCATTGAATTCATATGTTTCATCAACGTATGAATTATAATCAAAATTCATTCATTGTTTTATAAATAAAATAAAACTCTCTTCATTCATTCCATAATTAAATCTCTTTCATACATTCATTAAATAAATTTTTTTTACATTCATTAATTAAACAAAACCTTTATTTTAATTGATCAAATTTAATAACATTCAATACTTATTAAATTATAATAATTAAACTTAACTTATTTTGCTTAAGTTATTAAACCATAAATAAAAATTTACTTACTTAAGTTAAATAATAATATTTAGGCCATAGTATCTAATGGGTTTTTATTAAAATCACATTATTGTAATTTAAAATTTATAACAAAACTCTTGATTTTAAAAATTTATAAAAAATTATTAATGGATATAAAAAATAACAAATAGAAATGTGGGTAATGGGTATAATAAATAGAAAATAGTAATTTTATTTCAACTCCTTTAAATCACAATGCATATAATTAAATTATAAAACCACGATAAATAATATTAACATTTTTGAGGGTCCAATTTAAATTTATTTAACTTAAATATCTATTTTGACTAATATATATATATATATATATATATACTTTAAAATTTTTTAGAAACTTTAAGGAGGCCAAGGCCCACTCCCGCTCCCCTAACTGTCCGTCCGTGTTGAATAGGATGAAAAATTTATTAGTTCAATGGGTAGCTTTTATTCTATTTACTTTACTGTTTAATACACTTTTTCTTTTTTATTTGTTTATCTTTATTGACAATTAGCAAATCCGTAACATTATTTATTTATTAATATTAAGCATATTTTATATAGGGGAGAGATTAATTTATATTAAAAAAATTTTATATTTTTTTAATTATTGATTTTAACAAATCAAAAAAATGAGATTAATCCATTTTTTTATTTGACTCTCTCATCCTTTAGATTTATTAAAATTAATAGTTAAAAAATATAAAAAATTTTAATTTTACATTGATATAAATTGATCCCTTCCATTTTATATGATATATTATATATTTATAATATATAACTATTGGAATGAGTTGGACTAGACTTTAGCCTTAAATATTAAACTCAACGCTTAACTCATATTTTAAATAAATCTCATATTCTTGTTCCAATTAATTTAATGGATCTAATATTTTTGTCCACCTTCCTTCAAAAATAAGGTAGACTTTTGAGTTTTGATTGATAATCCAATTTTTAAATAGATTATGCATAAAAATATATATATATTTATATTTATATATCATGTATAATATATATATATATATACATATTTTATATTGAAAGCCGTAGTTAGGAAATAAGAAAAAGAATTATTCGGATTGAGTTTCAAACATCAAATTTATTATATGTTATTTTTTTAATATAATTATAAGAAACAATTAAGTTAAATTTTTAATTTCAATATAAAATAATTTGAGTATATAATTAGTATGCTTTTGCTTTTAACTCTTTAATTAATTTATTTCTAACATCAAAGAAAAAGGCATGAAAAAAAGTTTTCCAATATCAGACCAACTTTTGCCAATTTTTCAATATACACATATTTTATATTGAAAGCCGTAGTCTGAGAGTAAGAAAAAGAAATTCAAGTATTGAATTTTAAACATCAAATTTACTAGATGTTACTTTTTGAATGTAATTATATGAAAAAAAGTTTTCCAATATCATATTAACTTTTGCCATTGTTTCAATATATACACATTTTATATTGAAAGTCATAGTTTGGAAGTAAGAAAAAGAGTCACAGGGTTTGAGTTTCAAACATCAAATTTACTAGATATTACTTTTTGAATGTAATTATATGGAATAATTAAGTAAAAATTAGAATTTCAATATAAAATAATTTGAGTATATAATTAGTATGATTTTGCTTTTAACTCTTTAATTAATTTATTTCGAACATCAAAGAAAAAGGCATGAAAAAAAGTTCTCCAATATCAGACCAACTTTTGCCATTTTTTCAATGTATACATATTTTATATTGAAAGCCGTAGTCTAGGAGTAAGAAAAAGAGTTATAGGAATTAAGTTTCAAACATCAAATTTACTAGATGTTACTTTTTGAATGTAATTATATGAAAAAAAGTTTTCCAATATCAGATTGACTTTTGCCATTGTTTCAATATATACATATTTTATATTGAAAGCCGTAGTCTAGAAGTAAGAAAAAGAGTCACAGGGTTTGAGTTTCGAACATCAAATTTACTAGAT